CTATCAAAAAATGATATAGAACCTCTGAATTTTATCATTTTTCTTCATCTATTTTTTTCTAAATAATCCCAAATAATTTTCGAAATGATTTTCTAATTTTTCACCTCACGTTTATCAATCAATTTCATTTTACGTGACCCATATGCCAATTTTTCATTCCAGATTTTTATTAAAAATTTAAAAAAAATGAAGGGAAGGGGGTGGGATGGGGGGTTAAGCCTTAGCTTTTGTGCTCATTTCGATGCTATGATGAAATTTTTGTTAAATTTCAACAAGAAATTCGTGATCAGCGACCTCGATTTGACTTGTATACCAAATTTTAGCTGTCTACAATAAAATTCATGAAATTTCGAAAATTTCAGCTTTTTTCGGCTGAAACTCATAATTTTGAATTTTTTTTCAATTTTATTGTCTCTCCAAAGGAGAGACGGTTTCAAAATTTACATTGACACCAAATTTTTTGGGTCAGTTTCAATGTTTACCTCAAACTTGGGTAATTAAACCGACTTTCTCGGTCGCTGTCCGCTTATACGTTATGTGTGTTGCAAATCGCGTTAAACATTCGGCCAACTGCTATGCCTGTGTGTTCTACTCTCGAGCGACGCCGCTTTTTTTTCGACTTTTTCACTCGTTCTTTCGCTTACGACCATATCACGTTGAATACACGCCATCCCGTCCGATCTGGCAAGTTAAGCAACGTTGAGTCCGGTTAGTACTTGGATCGGAGACGGCTTGGGAATCCCGGATGTTGTAAGCTTTTGCAAAATTTAACAAAAATTCTAAAAATTGCTCCTTTTTTTGGGGGATCACTAAGCCTAAGCCTTGTTTTGCATGAAATTTTTTAGGCTTAGGCTTACGAAGTTCACTATTTCGCCTTTGGGAACCTTTCCATAGGCTTAGGCTTCCGAAACCAAAGGTTTCGCCTTCAGCAATCTTTCTGTAGGCTTAGGCTTCTGTAAACGCGAGTTTTGCTGCTAGGATCTTCCTCTCAGGCATAGGCTTAGTAAACCACCCAGAACCAACCCTTAGGCTTAGGCTTAGTAAACCACCCAGAACCAACCCTTAGGCTTAGGCTTAGGTAAGTTTTCCTTTTTAACACTGTTAAAAACAAGAATTTGTGTTGTTGGATGACGTCATCCCGCCCGTAAAAAGTCACAGATTTGGAATAATCCAAAAATGTAAAAATGAAGTCGATGAGTTGGGACCTAAATGACACTTCCTCTCAGGCTTAGGCTTAGTAAGCCACCCAGAAGCAACTTTGAAGCTAAAAAAATTGAAAGAAAATTTTTAACACTGTTAAAAAACAAGAAAATTCAGAATTTCATCCAGAGATGAAATTATTGAGAAAAAAGTCATGTCTCCAAGCCGAAATTTCTGTTTGGAGACGGTCATCTCTATAATTATGCAAATAAAAAAAGAGATTCAATAAGTTTTTTAAAAAATTTTTAGATGACGTCATCCATGGCAAAATTAGGGAGCCTTCCTGATTTTGCCACGAGTCATTTTTTGATCAAAAAACTTTTTTAACACTGTTAAAAAAAACAACTCATCGACTTCATTTTTACATTTTTGGATTATTCCAAATCTGTAACTTTTTTGTTGACTTGTGTCAAAAATTTTGAAAAATCTCGGGCCGATTTTTTTTTTGAAAACCCGCCAGAATGAAAATTTCGATTTTGGCGGGTGGCTAACAAAAATTTTAAATTTTCATTTTCGTGTATACAGTCAACAAAAAAAAGTTACAGATTTGGAATAATCCAAAAATGTAAAAATGAAGTCGATGAGTTGAGACCTAAATGACACTTCCTCTCAGGCTTAGGCTTAGTAACCACCCAGAAGTAACTGTGAAGGCGAAAATCCCCTTTTTCCTTGTTTTTTTCTTCAAAGTAATTTCTAGGTGGTTCACTAAGCCTTAGCCTAAGGCTGAGCAAGGTTTTCAACTTTTTCATAAACTTTTGAGCTTCTGAAATGTCAAAAATTTCGCTTCAAATATTTTTGAACAAAAAATTCCAATTTTCACCTATCAAAAAATGATATAGAACCTCTGAATTTTATCATTTTTCTTCATCTATTTTTTTCTAAATAATCCCAAATAATTTTCGAAATGATTTTCTAATTTTTCACCTCACGTTTATCAATCAATTTCATTTTACGTGACCCATATGCCAATTTTTCATTCCAGATTTTTATTAAAAATTTAAAAAAAATGAAGGGAAGGGGTGGGATGGGGGTTAAGCCTTAGCTTTTGTGCTCATTTCGATGCTATGATGAAATTTTTGTTAAATTTCAACAAGAAATTCGTGATCAGCGACCTCGATTTGACTTGTATACCAAATTTTAGCTGTCTACAATAAAATTCATGAAATTTCGAAAATTTCAGCTTTTTTCGGCTGAAACTCATAATTTTGAATTTTTTCAATTTTATTGTCTCTCCAAAGGAGAGACGGTTTCAAAATTTACATTGACACCAAATTTTTTGGGTCAGTTTCAATGTTTACCTCAAACTTGGGTAATTAAACCGACTTTCTCGGTCGCTGTCCGCTTATACGTTATGTGTGTTGCAAATCGCGTTAAACATTCGGCCAACTGCTATGCCTGTGTGTTCTACTCTCGAGCGACGCCGCTTTTTTCGACTTTTTCACTCGTTCTTTCGCTTACGACCATATCACGTTGAATACACGCCATCCCGTCCGATCTGGCAAGTTAAGCAACGTTGAGTCCGGTTAGTACTTGGATCGGAGACGGCTTGGGAATCCCGGATGTTGTAAGCTTTTGCAAAATTTAACAAAAATTCTAAAAATTGCTCCTTTTTTGGGGGATCACTAAGCCTAAGCCTTGTTTTGCATGAAATTTTTTAGGCTTAGGCTTACGAAGTTCACTATTTCGCCTTTGGGAACCTTTCCATAGGCTTAGGCTTCCGAAACCAAAGGTTTCGCCTTCAGCAATCTTTCTGTAGGCTTAGGCTTCTGTAAACGCGAGTTTTGCTGCTAGGATCTTCCTCTCAGGCATAGGCTTAGTAAACCACCCAGAACCAACCCTTAGGCTTAGGCTTAGTAAACCACCCAGAACCAACCCTTAGGCTTAGGCTTAGGTAAGTTTTCCTTTTTAACACTGTTAAAAACAAGAATTTGTGTTGTTGGATGACGTCATCCCGCCCGTAAAAAGTCACAGATTTGGAATAATCCAAAAATGTAAAAATGAAGTCGATGAGTTGGGACCTAAATGACACTTCCTCTCAGGCTTAGGCTTAGTAAGCCACCCAGAAGCAACTTTGAAGCTAAAAAAATTGAAAGAAAATTTTTAACACTGTTAAAAAACAAGAAAATTCAGAATTTCATCCAGAGATGAAATTATTGAGAAAAAGTCATGTCTCCAAGCCGAAATTTCTGTTTGGAGACGGTCATCTCTATAATTATGCAAATAAAAAAAGAGATTCAATAAGTTTTTTAAAAAATTTTTAGATGACGTCATCCATGGCAAAATTAGGGAGCCTTCCTGATTTTGCCACGAGTCATTTTTTGATCAAAAAACTTTTTTAACACTGTTAAAAAAAACAACTCATCGACTTCATTTTTACATTTTTGGATTATTCCAAATCTGTAACTTTTTTTGTTGACTTGTGTCAAAAATTTTGAAAAATCTCGGGCCGATTTTTTTGAAAACCCGCCAGAATGAAAATTTCGATTTTGGCGGGTGGCTAACAAAAATTTTAAATTTTCATTTTCGTGTATACAGTCAACAAAAAAAAGTTACAGATTTGGAATAATCCAAAAATGTAAAAATGAAGTCGATGAGTTGAGACCTAAATGACACTTCCTCTCAGGCTTAGGCTTAGTAACCACCCAGAAGTAACTGTGAAGGCGAAAATCCCCTTTTTCCTTGTTTTTTTCTTCAAAGTAATTTCTAGGTGGTTCACTAAGCCTTAGCCTAAGGCTGAGCAAGGTTTTCAACTTTTTCATAAACTTTTGAGCTTCTGAAATGTCAAAAATTTCGCTTCAAATATTTTTGAACAAAAAATTCCAATTTTCACCTATCAAAAAATGATATAGAACCTCTGAATTTTATCATTTTTCTTCATCTATTTTTTTTCTAAATAATCCCAAATAATTTTCGAAATGATTTTCTAATTTTTCACCTCACGTTTATCAATCAATTTCATTTTACGTGACCCATATGCCAATTTTTCATTCCAGATTTTTATTAAAAATTTAAAAAAAATGAAGGGAAGGGGGTGGGATGGGGGTTAAGCCTTAGCTTTTGTGCTCATTTCGATGCTATGATGAAATTTTTGTTAAATTTCAACAAGAAATTCGTGATCAGCGACCTCGATTTGACTTGTATACCAAATTTTAGCTGTCTACAATAAAATTCATGAAATTTCGAAAATTTCAGCTTTTTTCGGCTGAAACTCATAATTTTGAATTTTTTTCAATTTTATTGTCTCTCCAAAGGAGAGACGGTTTCAAAATTTACATTGACACCAAATTTTTTGGGTCAGTTTCAATGGGTGAGCCTGGGAAACAGTAGTCACCAATATTGCTATTGGGCTACCATTTTTAGTGTGGGTTTGATAAGGGTGTATCCGAAGATACAAGGACATGATCATCAGCTGCTCGGAAGAGCGTTTTTCCACTGAATGAGTCATACATAAGGCATACCAAACTACTATGGTTCCTGCCCGCAAAATCATCGGTTGTGATGATTGCAAGTCAACAGGTAGTAGTAGGGCTGTTTCAGATGCACGCTCCCTTTTCCACGTTTGGCAAACCAGGATTCCTCCTTAATGGTGCACCCGTCGTACCCGAAGGCATCTAAATGCACCGGAGTTGCCCACCCGCGCCTCACGGCTTTGGGTCATCACACTCATTATGTGCTTGACCGTTAACTGGGGAAAGTTTGTGTCTGTACTTTATCAGATTGTGCGATTAGGGACACATATGATATTTCCAGGATGGTATGTGTTTTTGGTGCCTGAACTAAGGCGTGTGTTCTTGTTGGGTTTAGTTTTTCAGCTCAAGTTGAGCTGGTTTTGGTGTTTTCCATGCGGCCCCTTTTGGTTTTTCGGGCGCGAATGGGTTTTTGGATTCGACGTATTTGTCGCCGAATATGTGTTGCCAGTAAATATTTTTACTGTGTTCCAGAACTTTGGAGAGTAGTTCTGGTTTGAGACTTCGAATTGTGCCTCTGCCGAGACCCAACTCTACTAGTGTGTCTGTTGTTGGTTTGTACCAAGTTCCCAGTGATCCAACCACAAGTGGAAGAATCGTGGTCTTTTTGCCGAATCGGGCGTAGTAGTCGACCAGGTGTTGGTATTTTTCGATTTTGTCCTTCCACGCGTTTTCAAGCGGTTTCAGGCCGTTCTCGTATGTGATTCTGACATCAGCCAGAATTATGTGTTTTCCATCTGGAGATTCCATCTGGATGTCGGGGCGGTCTTGACCGGCACCGGCTCTTTTATCGATTTTCAGTTTCCATTGTTTTTTGGAACCTTTCTCGATTGCTTCCTTTACATGGTAAAGTACGCAGTTGTGTCGCTCGGTGATGCCTCTGCCGAGGGAGGAGTCACATGACTGAAGAATGTGCGCCTGTGTTTCTTTTTCAGCGGGACATCTTCTGCATCCTTTCGGATGTTTGGAGTCATATGTGTTGTAGTTGCAAGTCAATAAGTTGAGTCTTGCTCTGTGAACAAATTTGTGGGCGGATATGCTTACTTTTCCTCCGGTTCTCACAAATGAGTTGCTTTGGCGATCCTGTTGTATAACTTGGACAACTTTGCTTTTCACATCTTTTTCCGTTAGGAATCTGTGGAGATGTGCTTCAATTACTTTGCCTTTCAGCGTTTCTTGAAGTTTTCCAATTTTGTCTTCAGTTATGATAACTGGTTCGCTGTCTGGTGTTGCTTGGATTTTAAGAGCCAAGCTTTTATCGACTGTGGTGAACTCCAAAAGGTGGAGTGGTGAGTCTTTGAGCTTTGAAAGGGATTTCAGGATGTCACGTACTCTGGTGAATACATTAAATCCGAAAGCTTTCTTGTTTAGTTGGATTTTGTTGTTGAGGTAGTCGGCGAGTTGTTCGGGTGTCATATCAAATTTACCCGTCTCTTTTTCGGCTACCTCTTGTAGGAGGTCTGCGTAGATTTTTCGGATGTATGGATCCTTAGCCCAAATCTTTTTCGTAGTGGAAACTAGGAAACCGATGAGGGCGGTCAGTCTTGGGCAGAGTACTCCAAGCCCACCTTTGGATATGGGGATTTGGATGTATTCGAGGGGTGAGCCTCTGATTGGTATACTGTGTATTGTTTTGATTGCTTTCATCACCATGTTACTGAATTCTCGAAGTTCACTCAGTTTTGGTGTCGCGTTTGCATACATATATGTGAGTTTTGGTAGTATGAAACATTTAACACAGTCCAGCTTTTGCCAAGGTGCAAGTGAGCTGGTTATGACGTATTCCAGGTCTTTTAGAGTACTGGAAAGGAGCTCCATTTCGGAGGTGCGGTTCAGGTTTCCGGTTTCTACACCGAGGTATTTGTATGTTCCAGTCTCGTCGAGGGTTCTGATTTGTTGACCTTTAATGAAAAGAGGTCGTGTTCTCAGTTTTCCTTCAGAGATTGTGAGACTGGCACATTTGGTGGGTTTGAATATCAGATTGAGGCTGGTGCAATCTTTATCCAAGTTTTCAAGCTCAGCTTGAAGTTGGGTTGGACTATTGGCTAGGATAGCCATGTCGTCCGCGAAGGCGAGGGCCTTGATGTTTGTTTTGAGACATCGGTGACCTTTTGCCTTTTGGAGGTGTCTTCGGATAACCAATTCCAAACACATATTGAATAGTGTTGGTGAAATTGGGTCTCCTTGTTTGACTCCCGATTTTATCAGGATTGGGTTGGTGGTTTCGGTTTTGTTTCGTACCCGGATACAAGCTCCATCGTACATGTCCGAGATGATTTCCTCGAGCTCAGGGGGGAATCCGAAAGCTCTCAGAGTGTGGCGGATCAGTTCGTGGGGGACTGAGCCGAATGCGTTGGTTAGGTCTAACCAGGCGATGCTCAGGTTTCCTCCAGTTCCTTTAGCCGCGTCAATGGCAGTTCTGAGGATGCCGATGCTTTCGTTGCTCCCGTCTCGTTCTTGGAAGCCACGTTGGCATTTACTCATGATGCCTTTTACCGCTCTAATTCGACGATTCCACAAGCTGCTGTATAGCTTGTAGATGGTCGGCATGAGGCTGATTGGGCGCCAGTTGTCAGGCTTATTTGGATCTGAGTTGGACCCTTTGTAGAGGAGAATAGTTTCGGCCTCTTTCCAGTGTTCTGGAATTTTTCTGTGTTCTTTGCAAGCGTTGAAGATCTTACAGAGAAGTGTGTTGTCGGGATCGAACCATTTTAGGTGATGGTAGTGAACCCCGTCGACACCAGGTTTGGTGTCTTTGGTGACTTTGAGGGCTGATTTGATTTCAGATGGTGTGAATTCCCCAATTATGGACAAGTCGATAATTGTTTCAGGAACTTCTGAGCTCATTTCGTTCAGCGTCTCTTTCGAAACATTAGTTTCTGTGGTGGTTTTCTTGAAGTGTTCTTCAAGAATTGCGATTGGAATCTCGCATTGCTTCGACTCTTTTTTGGTAATTTTGCAAAAAGTCTTGGCTCGATTTTTGGCGTATTGTGCCATGATGTGCTCTTCTTCCACTGGGGAATTTTGAGGTTTTGGTTTAGCCTGGTATGGCCGTTTTGGTTTGTCAGTTTGGGTGCACATATCTCCTGCAGATTTCTCTGGTGGAGGGCACCGTTTGACAATTTTGATGATTGCGTCTTTGTCACCCACCGAAGCTTGGTGAATGGAGGCTGTGAGTACGTCAGCGATCCATTCTAGCCGTTGGAAGGATTTTCCCTCAGATTCGTAATCGGACATTTGTTTGTTGTACCAATTACGAATCTGTTCAATTAGCTCCTCGGGTTTCCCCTTAAGCGATTTTTCGATTTTGACTGGTTGGGACCGGGCTTTTTTTGGCTTGTCGTTTAGACGGCGCAGGCTCCAACCAGGCTGGTTTTTCCAAAATGTGGTCCATAAGACCAGGAATTTTGGGTTGGGGTTTTGGGGGTTCAGCAGAAGATTGGTTGAGATCTTCTTCTGAAGCGGTTTCATTGAGCAATTCTTCCTCGATGGTAGGAATTTCATGCTTGGGTTCAATGATGGTTTCATTTTGGGTGATATCCAGTTCAGCATAATCTGGTTCTGGAAGTGTTGTGTCCAGGATCTGATTGTGGATCTTGGTTTCGTAGAGTTCATACTTCTCTGATTGTTTCAGTGCTAGAAGCATGTTTAATCTAAATAAATAGATGTCGGGCGCAGAGTACCACGAGGGTGCATCTGTGATTATTGTTTTTGCCATCAGGCAGACATGGACTCCACAATTGAAGGAGTCGGTCTGTTTTGGTGGACTCGTTTTGTAGTTTAATCTGGTGCCTTTCAAGAATTTTGAAAATTCTTCAATTCTTTTGGGCATTTGTTTTGTTGGTCCAAATGGATCCAGGTAGTACCATCCGGTTGGAGTAGATACTATCAAGACCCAATGGGAGTTTTCACAGATGGGGAAGATGTGGGTGTTTTGATCTGCCATCATTCCCGTTATGAATCTTGCTCCCTCAGCGACGCTATCTTTACAATAGTGCCAGAGGAGGGGATCCACAACCGAAAATCTGGGGTAATCTTTTGCCACATCTTCGATGTATCTGGTTACAATATCGGAATCTAGCCATGCATCGTTTCCTTGTTCATGGGTTAGACTCCAAATATTGAGTTTGTTTTTTGGTTTTTCATTATCTTCCTCAAGAGTTATAATTTCAGGATCGACTTTTAAGTGTTTGTTTTCGTTCCTTTCAATTTCCCCTTTTTTGGAATTTGTTTCATTTTTACCTTTCTCTCCTTTTTGAATTGTGTGGAGAGATCGGCGTTTTTCTGTTTCCCCCTTTTCTTCTTTTTTGTTTAGGTTGGAAAGAGGAGGAAGAGAGGTTTTTCTAGTTGGCAGTGGGCCAACACTTTTTGGTTGTAGTTTGACCTCTTTCTCTTGCTTTGTTTGTTTAGTGGGGTCAAGCAAAGAGGAGACAAGAGGACGCGTTGATTTATCGATTGATGGTCGACTTACTGGCCTAATTCCTTGGTTTGTAGGAAGGGAAGGGGTAAGCGAACTTCGGATCAAAGGTTTTGTGGAAAAGATAGGAGCCAGGCTCCGTCTCGGGTTTCTGGTTGAAATCGAGGAAGATTCTTCCTGGATTGGTTTGAGAGGATTCAGGGTCAATTTGGAGACGCTGAGGCGAGGGTTTGCAGGTTTTGCTGCAGTTTTTGAGTCCTTCAAGGCGCTGAGCTGTTTGGTAACAGACCTGGTTTGCGGTCTGAGCAGCTCTACCTTTTCAGGAGTTTGTTTTGGTTTTTTTGTTAGAGCGAGCGATGGAGCTGCTTCTCTAAATGATTTTTCGATGGTTTCTCTGGTGGACAAGGCGGTAGCCTTGCCCTCCTCAATCCCATGGTTTGTTTTGAGGTGATCAGTGATCCATCTGGTTGGGTATCTGTATCTTTCGGGACACAGAGCCTCGCAGATTTCACACTGAAATGTGAATTCGATTTTTAGATTATGGTCTTTGACATGTTTGACCATGTATCTGTTCGCTTCTGCTCCAATTCCAACCGCTGATTGTTTGAAGCAGCCGGAAATGGGACATTTATAGCTTTGTGTGTTTGGTACTTTAAATCGTACGATGATAGTTTTTTCGTTTTTTGAAACAATTTCAAACTCCCTGGTTGCGGCAGTTCTAACTGTTTTTCCGCCACCAAGAAGAGTGAAAAAGTTGGTTTTTGAGTTACTTTGTTTTACTGAAGCTTTCAGGCCATCAAGATTTGATTTGGCAATCTTTGATTCTTCATCAAGGTCAGTAATCGCCTTATTTTCACTCGTTTTGGTTATCGCATCATTTTGGCCGTATTTGTCGGCGAAAAATGACACGAATTTTTGTTTGCCAGCAGGGCTGGACTTTTTAAGTTTTTCCAGATTTTTTGCCAGTGATCCGTTTGGATGTTTTTCCAGCTCAAATTGGTTCGGTTTCAGTCGTTTTTCCCGAAGGAGGGCAACAACGCCGTTCTCTAGTCGTTTTCCCAAAGGGGGGGCAACAACGCCGCTTTTTATTGATTTTTCCGAAGAAAAAGAGTGTGTGTGGTGAGAGGAGAGAGAGAGGGGTGAGTAAAAAGGGTAGGGGGGCGAAGAATTTGCCATTTGTTGTTAGGCTCTTCTAGCTTCCCTTAATTACTCAAGAAATGTGAAAAAAGAGGTGGCGAGCCTCTAAACCAAGCAAAAGGAGAGAGAAAAATGCAAACGCACCTTCCCCCTTACCTCAAACTTGGGTAATTAAACCGACTTTCTCGGTCGCTGTCCGCTTATACGTTATGTGTGTTGCAAATCGCGTTAAACATTCGGCCAACTGCTATGCCTGTGTGTTCTACTCTCGAGCGACGCCGCTTTTTTTCGACTTTTTCACTCGTTCTTTCGCTTACGACCATATCACGTTGAATACACGCCATCCCGTCCGATCTGGCAAGTTAAGCAACGTTGAGTCCGGTTAGTACTTGGATCGGAGACGGCTTGGGAATCCCGGATGTTGTAAGCTTTTGCAAAATTTAACAAAAATTCTAAAAATTGCTCCTTTTTTTGGGGGATCACTAAGCCTAAGCCTTGTTTTGCATGAAATTTTTTAGGCTTAGGCTTACGAAGTTCACTATTTCGCCTTTGGGAACCTTTCCATAGGCTTAGGCTTCCGAAACCAAAGGTTTCGCCTTCAGCAATCTTTCTGTAGGCTTAGGCTTCTGTAAACGCGAGTTTTGCTGCTAGGATCTTCCTCTCAGGCATAGGCTTAGTAAACCACCCAGAACCAACCCTTAGGCTTAGGCTTAGTAAACCACCCAGAACCAACCCTTAGGCTTAGGCTTAGGTAAGTTTTCCTTTTTAACACTGTTAAAAACAAGAATTTGTGTTGTTGGATGACGTCATCCCGCCCGTAAAAAGTCACAGATTTGGAATAATCCAAAAATGTAAAAATGAAGTCGATGAGTTGGGACCTAAATGACACTTCCTCTCAGGCTTAGGCTTAGTAAGCCACCCAGAAGCAACTTTGAAGCTAAAAAAATTGAAAGAAAATTTTTAACACTGTTAAAAAACAAGAAAATTCAGAATTTCATCCAGAGATGAAATTATTGAGAAAAAAGTCATGTCTCCAAGCCGAAATTTCTGTTTGGAGACGGTCATCTCTATAATTATGCAAATAAAAAAAGAGATTCAATAAGTTTTTTAAAAAATTTTTAGATGACGTCATCCATGGCAAAATTAGGGAGCCTTCCTGATTTTGCCACGAGTCATTTTTTGATCAAAAAACTTTTTTAACACTGTTAAAAAAAACAACTCATCGACTTCATTTTTACATTTTTGGATTATTCCAAATCTGTAACTTTTTTGTTGACTTGTGTCAAAAATTTTGAAAAATCTCGGGCCGATTTTTTTTTGAAAACCCGCCAGAATGAAAATTTCGATTTTGGCGGGTGGCTAACAAAAATTTTAAATTTTCATTTTCGTGTATACAGTCAACAAAAAAAAGTTACAGATTTGGAATAATCCAAAAATGTAAAAATGAAGTCGATGAGTTGAGACCTAAATGACACTTCCTCTCAGGCTTAGGCTTAGTAACCACCCAGAAGTAACTGTGAAGGCGAAAATCCCCTTTTTCCTTGTTTTTTTCTTCAAAGTAATTTCTAGGTGGTTCACTAAGCCTTAGCCTAAGGCTGAGCAAGGTTTTCAACTTTTTCATAAACTTTTGAGCTTCTGAAATGTCAAAAATTTCGCTTCAAATATTTTTGAACAAAAAATTCCAATTTTCACCTATCAAAAAATGATATAGAACCTCTGAATTTTATCATTTTTCTTCATCTATTTTTTTTCTAAATAATCCCAAATAATTTTCGAAATGATTTTCTAATTTTTCACCTCACGTTTATCAATCAATTTCATTTTACGTGACCCATATGCCAATTTTTCATTCCAGATTTTTATTAAAAATTTAAAAAAAATGAAGGGAAGGGGGTGGGATGGGGGGTTAAGCCTTAGCTTTTGTGCTCATTTCGATGCTATGATGAAATTTTTGTTAAATTTCAACAAGAAATTCGTGATCAGCGACCTCGATTTGACTTGTATACCAAATTTTAGCTGTCTACAATAAAATTCATGAAATTTCGAAAATTTCAGCTTTTTTCGGCTGAAACTCATAATTTTGAATTTTTTCAATTTTATTGTCTCTCCAAAGGAGAGACGGTTTCAAAATTTACATTGACACCAAATTTTTTGGGTCAGTTTCAATGTTTACCTCAAACTTGGGTAATTAAACCGACTTTCTCGGTCGCTGTCCGCTTATACGTTATGTGTGTTGCAAATCGCGTTAAACATTCGGCCAACTGCTATGCCTGTGTGTTCTACTCTCGAGCGACGCCGCTTTTTTTCGACTTTTTCACTCGTTCTTTCGCTTACGACCATATCACGTTGAATACACGCCATCCCGTCCGATCTGGCAAGTTAAGCAACGTTGAGTCCGGTTAGTACTTGGATCGGAGACGGCTTGGGAATCCCGGATGTTGTAACACAGGTGGTGGGCTGGCAATCCGTCTCAGACCTGTAGCGCACCAGTCAGTGAAATTGGCCGTTCACAGGTCTGTTACTGGTGTCAGACGGGTGCAGACCTGTCACGGGTCGCCTGAAACTGGCGCGTCACGGGTCGCATACTGCTCGACCATTTCCCACACAAAACATAGCGAGACGCACAAACAGCCAACTGTCTGCGAGTCAGTTTGTTTAAGAGAAGCGAGTGTTGCTTGCTTTTTCGAATTAGAGGTTCTATGAAAAGCTGTTCTAGTCCGTATTGGACATGAATACAAAGTCTATATTTTTGGTTTCTGGGGACATTGGTCCTCTACATATAGATTTTTTCATTTTCAAGTTCCCCTTGTTGACCCCTGATCAGGAACTCTGACGGGTGTCAAACTGGTGCGAGACCGGTCGGTTCCGGTTTTGGGAACACTGGTGCGGCACAGGTCTGAGACGGGTTGCCAGCCCACCACCTGTGTAAGCTTTTGCAAAATTTAACAAAAATTCTAAAAATTGCTCCTTTTTTTGGGGGATCACTAAGCCTAAGCCTTGTTTTGCATGAAATTTTTTAGGCTTAGGCTTACGAAGTTCACTATTTCGCCTTTGGGAACCTTTCCATAGGCTTAGGCTTCCGAAACCAAAGGTTTCGCCTTCAGCAATCTTTCTGTAGGCTTAGGCTTCTGTAAACGCGAGTTTTGCTGCTAGGATCTTCCTCTCAGGCATAGGCTTAGTAAACCACCCAGAACCAACCCTTAGGCTTAGGCTTAGTAAACCACCCAGAACCAACCCTTAGGCTTAGGCTTAGGTAAGTTTTCCTTTTTAACACTGTTAAAAACAAGAATTTGTGTTGTTGGATGACGTCATCCCGCCCGTAAAAAGTCACAGATTTGGAATAATCCAAAAATGTAAAAATGAAGTCGATGAGTTGGGACCTAAATGACACTTCCTCTCAGGCTTAGGCTTAGTAAGCCACCCAGAAGCAACTTTGAAGCTAAAAAAATTGAAAGAAAATTTTTAACACTGTTAAAAAACAAGAAAATTCAGAATTTCATCCAGAGATGAAATTATTGAGAAAAAGTCATGTCTCCAAGCCGAAATTTCTGTTTGGAGACGGTCATCTCTATAATTATGCAAATAAAAAAAGAGATTCAATAAGTTTTTTAAAAAATTTTTAGATGACGTCATCCATGGCAAAATTAGGGAGCCTTCCTGATTTTGCCACGAGTCATTTTTTGATCAAAAAACTTTTTTAACACTGTTAAAAAAAACAACTCATCGACTTCATTTTTACATTTTTGGATTATTCCAAATCTGTAACTTTTTTGTTGACTTGTGTCAAAAATTTTGAAAAATCTCGGGCCGATTTTTTTTTTGAAAACCCGCCAGAATGAAAATTTCGATTTTGGCGGGTGGCTAACAAAAATTTTAAATTTTCATTTTCGTGTATACAGTCAACAAAAAAAGTTACAGATTTGGAATAATCCAAAAATGTAAAAATGAAGTCGATGAGTTGAGACCTAAATGACACTTCCTCTCAGGCTTAGGCTTAGTAACCACCCAGAAGTAACTGTGAAGGCGAAAATCCCCTTTTTCCTTGTTTTTTTCTTCAAAGTAATTTCTAGGTGGTTCACTAAGCCTTAGCCTAAGGCTGAGCAAGGTTTTCAACTTTTTCATAAACTTTTGAGCTTCTGAAATGTCAAAAATTTCGCTTCAAATATTTTTGAACAAAAAATTCCAATTTTCACCTATCAAAAAATGATATAGAACCTCTGAATTTTATCATTTTTCTTCATCTATTTTTTTTCTAAATAATCCCAAATAATTTTCGAAATGATTTTCTAATTTTTCACCTCACGTTTATCAATCAATTTCATTTTACGTGACCCATATGCCAATTTTTCATTCCAGATTTTTATTAAAAATTTAAAAAAAATGAAGGGAAGGGGTGGGATGGGGGGTTAAGCCTTAGCTTTTGTGCTCATTTCGATGCTATGATGAAATTTTTGTTAAATTTCAACAAGAAATTCGTGATCAGCGACCTCGATTTGACTTGTATACCAAATTTTAGCTGTCTACAATAAAATTCATGAAATTTCGAAAATTTCAGCTTTTTTCGGCTGAAACTCATAATTTTGAATTTTTTTCAATTTTATTGTCTCTCCAAAGGAGAGACGGTTTCAAAATTTACATTGACACCAAATTTTTTGGGTCAGTTTCAATGTTTACCTCAAACTTGGGTAATTAAACCGACTTTCTCGGTCGCTGTCCGCTTATACGTTATGTGTGTTGCAAATCGCGTTAAACATTCGGCCAACTGCTATGCCTGTGTGTTCTACTCTCGAGCGACGCCGCTTTTTTTCGACTTTTTC